AATACACAGGGTGTATTACTACAATGTTTTATGACAGGAACGCTCTATGAAAAAGGGTGTACTATAGAGGGACTTATCACAGAGATCCTACTGGGTCCTTCCCTCTTTCTAATTTATGTCACTGACTTATGTTTATATATGTATCTGAAACATCTGTTTTTCTTTCTGTACATAGGAATGCTGATGAGGATACTGTATTAACAAACATCAATGATTATGTCAAACAATGGTTCAATATCATTGCGGTACGTAATATGACAAAAACAGGACAATCAATCAATCAAAAATGTACTTCATTGTCTAAGAGGGAAAACTCTTGTTGAGTGATTTCATAATAACAATAAAAGACTCGCTTGAAGACGGCTAGTGTATGTTTTCTTTGTCTCAATTTTAGTCCGTTTTATCTCTATAATGAGTCAGTTTTTTTTATTAATTAATTAATAGGTAAATCTGACTTGTCCAAAACTTATGAAATACATTTTATAGATAAATTTATTGTTTCACACAACTTTGTACACATGTTGATAGATGGTGCAAGAAATCTGTCGCGCGTATTTTGTTTAGCTCTTTAATTTATGGATCAAAGTTTGATCTCCCTCTTGAAGATAATCACTTGGTGATTGAAACACGTATCGAGGTGTTGAAATATTTCCTTTTGTTTTGTCAAAAAGTCTTGACGCGAGAAATGTGATTGAAACAACTTTGTACACATGTTGATAGATGGTGCAAGAATCGAAATCTGTCGCGTGTATTTTGTTCAGGTCTTTAATTTATGGACCATAATGTGAAAGAAATCACATATCAATTTTGTCCCCCAAGTGCCAACTTCATTTTCAATGTAGTGTCACTTGAGGTGTACTCAGCACGTCTGTGAACGGAATTCTGAACTTTATTGGATCTATTCATTATTTCTTTATCAAGAGTGCCGTAGGTCGAAAGTTTTTGACGAAATATTTTACATGGGGAGGGGCCCAAGTGATCACACCAGGGATATTTTATGCATCATGTGACAATTTATAAGCCATTATACCTTTGTTATAAAACAATATAATCTATCAAAATACTTTCTTCATAAATGATTATTGCTCTGATATTCAATGGATAAACATTTTGAATATAATTGTAGGAGTATTGACTGGTAAATATCTGGAACCACAACAACAAAATGAAAATTTAGAGGAGTGTATTGCGAAAAAGTTTCATATTCTCACCTTATGTGCTTGGGCGCAGCTGGAACGTAATTATCGGCTTATACAGCTTAATGGGCGATGCGAAGCACCCCGATCCGACCGCCCATGTCACATATAATTACACATACAGAGGGCAACAATTGTAGTTTATGTCCATTCGTGGAGATGAGAGAGTACTTTTCAATAATCGATTTTCTTTTATTAGCCTTCATCGGTTCGAAGACTACTGGGTACTATCTTTTTTAGTTAGGTCCTGTATCGGAGCGAACATGAAAAACTCATAGATATGCGAAAAATGTCCTTATACAATGTGATAAATTCAACAACTTTGCAAAAGTAATAGAGATAAATATAAAACTTTATAATTAACTAATAAACTAATGAAAAGTGGAAGTAACAGTAATATATGAAAGCAAAGTAAAATACTTCTGCAAACATGAAGCACAAGAAATTATACAGCAATTGGTTGAATCCAGCTGCTAGGACGTTGTTTTTAACTTAGTTCTAATATTTCTGATAGACGGCATATCTGGATGATGAATTTCCCTGTTGTTCTTGTCAAATGGAAATTTTATTTGAATTTTGTATATTTTGTAGCAATTTATTATTAATTTCTGAAACGTTCCTCATTAAAAAAACAACGAGCAAATGTCAACATGGCAAATGGTTGAAAGATATCAGAACATTGCATATGTTTGCTGGACTATTTTTTCAATAAAAATTATTGTCAAATCTGAAATTGTTACATAATGTTATATTACTTTATTTACAGTTGTTGTCGATTCTGGTCCAAGGTACGAAGTGGCGTATCCAAGTGGAATTTCCCATTTTTTGGAAAAATTAGCATTCAATGTGAGTGATATTTTTTTATTTTAATTAACATATTTCATATTTAGCCAATTATTATTCTAAGACAGTTTGTTAAAAATTAACTGAATCCACAATTCCATCTGTAACACAAGATGGTAATTTTCAGGGGAAAACACCTATCATTATTTTTGCTATAGAAATAGAAATAGTTTTATTCAACATTAAATTTTCACACATACATAATTACAAGACTAAATACATGAGAAAACTTATTGGACTAGTCAAAAGTAAAAAGCTAAAAGCAAAACACAAATGTTTGATCTTGAACAAACTTAAAAAAGAAGACTACATGTATAAAATAAACTAAGTCATTTATCTAAGCACTAAAAGCAAGAAATTCATCCATACTGTAGAAGCAGTTATCCAACAAGAAATCATATAGTTCATTCCTCATTACAGTTCTACTTTTATTGATCCCTATAAAAGTTGTTATTTTATTGAAACATTTAATACCCAAGTATTTTGGGGAATTTTGACTCACACTCAAGCGAGAGTAGGGGTGGTATAAAGTATGTTCACCCCGAGTAGCGTAATTATGTATATCAGAGTTTTTTGGATATAGGTGTTTATTATCATAGATAAATAACACTAGCTGTAATATGTATAAGCACGGCAATGGTAGGATGTTGAATTTTTTAAACAGTGGTTTACAAGAGTCCAGTGGACGAGACTTGTCCATACAGCGAATGACTCTTTTCTGAACCTTAAAAATGCGNTAATTCATTAACTTATTTTTAAGTTTTTTAAAATTTTATCTTTTATATTGTTTCCTTAAAACTAGCTCAGATTATTGTTAAATACATATGTATAAACTTGTTAATTATTTTGTAAAACATAGGCATTGCCGTAAATTAATAAATAAATAAATATTGTCTAGAAACACAAAGATGCTAGATCGTTAGATTTGATATTTCCAGTTAATATGACAGTGTTGCATTAGCGATTCCTTATTAATCCATAATTGTGAAATACCTGTCTCACAGGTTACTAAAATATTGTTCTTAGAAATTACAATTGATCCAGTCCTTCATATGCTATACATTAACGACTCATTGGAAAAAATGAAGAATGCATCTGACAATGCACATCTTTGCCGACAAAAAGTTTTTCATCTCAACCATCCAATACTTGTGCTCAAATGTTTGACATTATTGCTCCCTTCGGGTCTCACAGATCCGTTCCTATATGTTGAAAAACTTGACGGGCTATGTGAATTGAGCATTGTGTCATAATTGTGTCAAAATCCGGGCTGTCAGTCACTGCTGAAACTCCGAGATATAACCTTAGTCCTCGCATTAAACGTATATACCACTGATGATATCTGCCACAGTTCGAGACAAAACTTTTGATACTACAAGTTCCATTCAATCGTGGTCTACCAGCCCAGATCCTATTCTCTCCAACTGAATTTGATATGATTTCATAGAAATCAAAACTCTTCTAAACAATTGGAATACAGCATTTTGGACATGTGTTTGTCAATGATATTCAGATTTACTGCCTTATTCTCAGGAAAAAAGTTTTCTCACTCCATTTGTGTTGTGAATAATATCTGCAACTATTATTACCTAACCTATTGCTAGAGGTATTTGATTTTCTTACCGTCTATGACCTTGAAAATATATGCGCGTCGCTTCGATGGTAAGAAATAACATTATTCGAGTGAAAACTGAAAAAACATTGACTCAATTATTAGTTTAATAGAACTGCAATAGTCCAGACAAAGTTCACACTGGCCAAGTTGAAAAGTGGATTTGCAGAAATTATCATTATATAAGTAGATACATTTTTGAAAGTAGTGTCCGACCGAAACTGGTTTTTACGGCCGAAACCGAAAACGAATTTCGGCAACGGTCTCAGTTTCGGCCGAAACCGATNGTGCGAGTGCCCGGAGTTATCGTCAATAATAGAGTGTGTGTTCGGCGAGTCTTGGCCTACACCTGCCGATATAAAGGAGATGTCTCCCAGCGACCTGCCCACCTTCCTGGAAAGGACAGAATGGACGATGACCTAGGAGGACAACTCTTCGAGAGGATGTACAATTGGTCACATGTGGCCTAAGTGCGTGGGCTTACACTCACCTTCCCTACTCTACAGATACAGATATGTCTTCGTCGCTTGTATGAAATTCAACGAGCCGAACATGACCTATCATAGCGCGGGAACTCCCGAATGCAGTTTCGGTTTCGGTCGTAGTTTCGGCAGGTTTGTCGCCGTTTTTTTTGCCAAAACTCGACCGAAACCAAACGTTCGGTCGGACACTATTTGAAAGGTAAAAGAAAACTACACTTACATAAAAACTTCTCTCTCTCTCTCCATTTTGGATGGTCGTTGCTTCCTATCGTCTGGCGCATTTGACCAATGCTCCTCCTGTTAGTTAACAGGAGCTTCGTCGGAGGGCGTAGTGGTCTTGCACGAAGCAATGCTGCCACCCATTTTTTTCCAACTTTTTTTTTCATTATAAAAACAATTCTTGATAAAAAAAAAATTGTTTTTTTATGGAGTCGCCTCCTGCTTGGGAGAACTTTTGGGTTTTTTTCACATATACAGCCCCCTTTACGTGGTTATCCGAACTACCTCGGCCTGGACACCGGGGTGAATAAAGGGGGCCCTTTATTCATAACTTTTTTTTTTGATGACACACATTTCCTTAATTAACATAATGGACTGGCACAACACAAAAACGGAGTCCCACGATAGCACATGGCATCCGCGTACTTTCTTTGTGGGCGGACGTTATCAGCACGTCCGTCCACTACCACGGCCACCACGGAACCAACATAAAAAGTTAACATTTTAGTATTACGGCATTTACAAAAAAAAAGCTAATATTGGCAACCTTACTCATCGCAATCTGTTTCATTGTCAGGCAGTTTTGATTCACTCTAACTGGTATCCTTCCAACATTTACTATGAACTGAATTTTTCCACCTCATCCATAATGTGTTCTCTTTCAATATATTCTCCTTCAATCTTCTCTACGGCAAATGTTTTGCCGGTTTTGAGTCGTCACTTCTTGAACTTTCACTTCTGTTAGACTCCGCACATCAGCTAGTTTGAATGAGACATTACAGGTTGCTACTTCATTCTTTACTGGTACCCATATCAACCCTAGGATCAACCTGAACATTGGCATTATCCATAATTGAAATGCTCGTTTTGAAGCATTAGGGATAAATTTACCATTTAACCATTGAGTTCATTTCGTCATGGTAGTTACCTGTTTTACTTCCCGATGAAAATATGTTCAACGCATTAGGTACAAATCCTGATGCACCTCCAGCATATAAGATGATAGGACGTTTTCCTTTGAACATCAATTCTTGCCGTCGTCCCAAGTCTTTGGTACCAAATGGAAACTGTGGATGTAGGATTCTACTTCCATCTTTAATTTTCGTAAATATTCAGAGCGTTTAGATTCAGTGCCTCTAAAATCAATTTCCTTTTCATTTTGAATAGCCTCAAGTATTCTAGGAGTGAATGATTTTTCTGATTATTTCTTTCTCAAATTCATCAATTGATCCTTTGGAAGTTGATGGTTTGTTAATGGATTTCTTTGGTTACTTGAGGGAAGCAGCAGATGACTTGTTATTAATTTCAGTAATAATGCTTTTCACAGTAATGATACCAACACTACAAGCTTCAGCTACTGTCTTTTGCAGACTGCTCAGAGGAATTGTTAGAGCTTGTCAATCTTTCTCATCTTTCTCAGTTTGAATATATTTATGAACATTTTGAGTAATCTCACGATCTTGATTGATGAGCATTTCTTTTAGAAATGCTCATGTTTGTAGATTGGTATTAATAACAAGGGAATGAACAAATTATTGTCAAACAATTCTTGAGTTCAAGTAACACCATACAATAGCTCTCTCAAGTGTTTTTACACTCACTAAATTCTACTTGATTTGTGCTTTATTTAATGACAATTTGGATCATATCAACTTCTACGTACGTAATGACTAAAAATTACATTTTATCCGAGTTTGATCGAACTTGGCGTTCTTTTTTTGGTCTTGGCTTGCCTTTTTTGGGGTTGGCTTGCCTTTTTTGGGGTTGGCTCTCCTTTTTTGTCTTGGCTACCTTTTTTTTGGTCTTGGCTTTTCAGGACTCTTTCATTGGGATAATTGGTCTATGGTTTCAATTTCATAACCATATACTAATGATTCGTTACCAGTTATGACCTTTTTGAGCGAATCTGAATCGCCGTTGCGATACTTTTGCGATGGTTTTTTTGTCAAAATTCAACAATTTCGAAACGAACTTCGCTGCCACACGCTCCATGCCCAAAATTCACGAAAAAATTGTTGTATTACTACCTTTTCACTGTTGTAAGGCTGAGAGGGCAGCATATCGGACATTATTTTCTCATTCCCAACTTTCACTAGTATGTTTCTTATATCTTCATGAATCCGTAGGGGGGCATGATGTCTAGTCCCAAAACGAATCCGTCAACGATGTTGGCCACTAATACCTTAATTTCTATTACACAATTTACAAGCCTAAGTCTCACTTCATCTTCTTTATAAACCGCCAGTTTATCTCCAGTGGCTATTTCCAGAGCGGTTATTACTGATTACTCCTTCAAACTGTGTGTGTTGGAAATATCGGCTTTAATTACTGACCTCGTTGCACTAGTATCGATGGGGAAACAAAGTCGCTTTCCGCTGTCTGTCCCTATGTATGCTTTGATCTTCAAAACTACGGTTTTTTTTTAATGGATAGAGTGATTCAAGAGGAATATTTATATGTATATAACATGCATAATATAGCAGAGAAACACTGATAATTTTATAGGTATCTATAATTGTCTATCTATCGTAAATAAAATAATTTTTTTTGCATTTACATTGCAAACGCTGGCTGAACCCTGCGAGATAGCTAAAAAATGAACTACAGTATTATATACCTTTGAAAGGTCTTCAAAAAAGTATGCGATGGCATATGTCTATCTCTTAGGGATAACCCACAATAACCATTTTTTTATTCTCTAGAAATAACGGCTTATTTACGAAGCAATACAGCATTAATCCTCATCCAATTAAGTACCTTACACTACTACTACAGCATTGCTACACTACTACTACATATGCATACACAAATGTCTGTTGCCTTGTTAGCTCACTTCGTACCGCACTTTCAACTAGACTAGACTCCTCCACGTGTTGATAATGCTTATATATCTCTTTGGAAGTCTTCGGAAGCCATCGGGATCATTTTCGAAGCGACTCGACACCGAGTAGGATCGAGAATGCAAGAAGAGTTGCACGTGATTTTGGCCACGTCACAGTCGAGCGGCCGGCGGAATTTTTTTCAGGGGATAATTTACAACAATACCCTCTTCCCTGATGATTTACAATACCACCCTTGCTCCCAGCCAACTGTGTGATATGTAATTACACGGCAGGCTATATACAAATTTATGAGTATGGGTGAAAGAATTTACAGCCCGTTTTGAAGCAAAGCTGGAAATATGTCATCCTCTTCGGGGAGATCTGAAGGGCTAAAAATATTCAATAGCCCCTTCAACGGGCGGAGCTGTGATAACTTTCTTGGCAGCCTCCCAGTCCTTTATTTGGACGTCACCCTCATAGAGAGGAAGTTGATTGTTATCAAGAGTTAAACTTTCAGAAAAGTGGACTTCTATCAAGAGCTCTAATGTTTTTTTTCTAGAGGCCGTGAATGTTCCATCGGGTCATTTCATCAACTCGGTTTTAGCAGTCGACTCTCTAGCGAAAATCTTACGGATCCTTGTGCTGTGAGGTAAATCAGAAATACACCTGACTCTTTAGCTTGATTGAATAATCGTTTAACTTTTTTTCCGAGTTTTTCAAGATATTTATTCCACGAAGAAGAGTTTCGATTATTTCCTTTGGTTCTCAATGGACAGTTCTCGTGATAGAAAGAGATCACTGCTTCACGAAATTGTTCCGCTACTGCATCTATCCCATCACAATTGTGAATTTTAGTGAATCCATATTCAAAGTGCGATTGGGGGGAATTTTCATAATCACTCCAGTCAGTAGCTTCGGAGTCAGGATATTCCACTACTGGTCTTGGAACTGTTTCGATATTGAATCGAATGTCTATGATTTGAACGAGACGGTTCAGAAGATACAGCTCAGTGCCGTATCTTATTGCTCAGATAGTGTGACCTGATTGTTGAATCTATACCTCTTCCCTATTTCTAGTAACAAATATCCACTCCAAGGTTGACAGACCATGGTTCATTCTCCTTAATCTTGTATGACTTTGAGGTTGGTCTGTAACTGCTCAACAGAGATATCTGGTTGAATATGTTTGAGAAAAATTGTTGCTTTCAATATATTCTGATTATATATTGATTAAATATTGATGTGTAAAATTATTTTCAGTCGACTAAAAATTTTCCGAATCGTGATGATATGATAATACAATTGGAAAAACATGGTGGAATATGTGATAGTCAAGCGTCAAGAGACACTTTTCTTTATGCTGCCTCTGCATATACTTCCGGATTAGCTGATATTATTCAGCTGCTTTCTGAAGCCACTTTGAGGCCTCGGATTACTCCCGATGAACTAGAAGGAGCTCGGCAAGCTGTACATTTTGAATTGGAAACACTGAATATGAGACCTGAACAGGAAACTATTACACATTCTTTATTAAAAAAACGAGAAATATTATTGGTGGGTTCACCCAAATATAACAATGTCCTATAACTGACTTTATCGCATCTTATTCATGTTATTGAAACAAACATTTCAATTTGAATTTGAAAACTAATCTAATGTGATGGATGAATTTGATGATTTTCAACAAGTTTCATAATATCAGGCTCGAATTTACTCAAAAACAGCCATGTCACCGCGTTCGGTAATCTGCAACCGATTTCTCTTTTTAGTTAGCAACGTTACCACAGCACTATATCCACGTTCACACAAATACGATTATGGGAATGCTATCGAAAATCGTTGAACGATGGACCACAATCCAGGGTACAATTGCGGAATTGGATTTCGTACCTAAAATCTTGATATCCATTTTTTAATTTTATTTTTATTTCCTCGCTCGTTATCAGTTCTATGAGTTCTTCTTCCAGCTGGGGTGATCCTGCTGTGTTGACATTTGGAAAAAGGATGCAACACCCAGTCCGGTATTTCCAATTTTAAAATATCCTGGAATCGTTTTGCGAAATCACTATGGAGGTTTTCCAAATGTTGGTTGTAAACAAGCAAGTCGACGTTGTTGAAGGATACTGCTGACAAATTAGGAAAATTGCGAAACTCACGTCTGCCGATATTATTCTTGTATAAGAGCAATTTGGCTACAAAAGCAGCAATGACATTTTTTGTTTTAATCAAATTCAAGTCGTCATATTGAAGTTGGAGATTGACATTATTAAATAAATTATACAGGTCTGTCAAGTCAGTTACCTCTTGATAACCAACGCACTTCTGTGTGAAATAGCAATTGGTTGAAATCTTCATCATTAGCAACACAAAGCTGATTAAATAATCTGTCATTTAAAGAGTTGTTTCGGATTTTATTGACTGCTTTGATGATATATTGCAGTGATTGAGAGAGGTGCTCACTCAACTTTTTAGCATCCAAATGTTGCCTATGAATGACGCGAATTACAGTGAGCACATCTGGAATTTTATTTTTTAAGTATGCTATAAAGCCTTTGTGACGTCCTGTCATAGCCGGAACCCATCCGTCTTTTTTATCTGAATGTATTTTATTCAAATGATCTTGTAGCCTTGAAAGTTTCATCGCTTCATTCGAAAATGTTTTTTGACAAAAAAGGCACACAGGCGAAGATGGATTTGTGGGATTTTCAATAAATCCATATTTTATATAATCCGTGCTATACAGCCGTTTCTTCTTTTTTGCTTCCGACATCATTTTGTCTTCAAAAATGCCGAAGTAAAGATTCGAGTATTAAAAACTTGCTAATGATACCACTCACAGTATTCACCACCGTACGTACGGCACTTTACCTAGCTAGTCGCTAACTAAATTCACTTTTTTTCGTAATATCGTCTAGTGACATTACTGGCTGGATATCGCGCGCGCTTTTATATGAGGCAGCGGGCGGGCCTAGTACTTTCGAGAATGGAGACTAGAAACTTCTCGCTTCGCATTAAAACTTATCGCCATCTATTGTACAGTTTGACAACTATCGGACAGGAAATTTTCCCTAAAAATATTCCTCTTTTAGAAAAAAAAAAAGATGATTCGAATTGAGTGGGTGGAGAGATGGGTCCTGACAGTTATTGAAAAGCATGTTTACCTGACATGGATAAGAATGTTTTTGAAGAGGACAACAAAGGCTGTTTTAGAGGTTTTAGAACATTTCAGCATTTTTATCTAGTTATTTATGGTTTTGTCAAATGCGGTGGCGGATCAGATTTAAACTAGATGGACAAGCAATAACATTTGAATAAGAAAGGCAGTCTAGTGTTTGTTTCATGAACTGTTTTTGAAGCGTAGTTATTGTATACTACTAGTTTCAAGTTGTACTTCTGTCTCTTTAAATAAAGATATTTAATTAATAAGTATGCTATATATTTTTTTAAAACCCAAAAGCTTATGTTCGTCCTTATTTCACATGAGTAGATTGTGGAAGGTTGATAACCCAAAGTAGTTTGAAAAACAGTTCCTGATTTCAGTTCGAACTGGTTAATAGATAATTTTCCCATTCAGGGAGTATTTTTTTAAATTTGGAAAATCTATATTGTACATTATTTTTCAAAATTTTTTTTTTTCATTTGACAATGCATAGACATAACATACAGAAACAGAAGTTGTAAATCTAAAATGGAATATTTTCAACGCCAAAGTAAAATAAATGTTACAGTAAATGTAGAATAAAGTAAGAATAAATGTAGAGGTCCAAAGATTGAGAAATGGTACATCAGAAATGAAAACCTAAAGTCTGTCAATTGAATATTCCACTAGGATATGTAAATTGATTCAATATACATTTTCATTCCACAAATGGATTCATAGCAAAAAAATGTATTTTTGAAATTTCAGGCTGCATACAAAGACAATACTCTCGGTCTTCCGAGACTTTGTCCCCCAGAAAACGTTTCCAAAATCGACAGAGAAATGTTGTTAACATACTTGAGTAACCATTATACTCCCAAGAGAATGGTTGTTGCTGGAGTTGGCGTGGAACATGCAAGACTTCTTGAGGCTGTCGAAAAATATTTTGTTGATGATAAACCAATATGGGAAACTGAGAATGATGGCAATAGAAAATATATGAGTTGTGATCACAGTATTCCCCAATACACTGGGGGAATGGTTCGGGTAAGATTTTATTATAAATGCATTCCAAAAGGTATCAAACTATTTTTTAATGTTATAAAGAAACTACACAAACACATACATACAATGCATTCATTTAATGCCCTCCCTCTCCTTTTATTTTTTTAACGGGTCAACTCAAAAAATTGAAATTTGGAATATTAAAATAAATGGTTGAATACTTTATTTCGAAGTGAAATTGACAGATGAAACTTTCAAGATGGCGACTGGGCGCCATCTGGGGAAAAAAATTGAATATAAAGGGGGGGTCTTGTG